GCAGAACGCAGGGTGCCGGTGCTGTGGGAGAGGTCAGGGTGGGCCTGTGCTGGGGCCGGGGTGAGCGGGCAGCGACACAGGTGTCAGGGAGGCGGTGAGGGGTCCCGGTGGGGCCGGGGGCTGAGCGCCGTGCTGAGGGCTGAGCACCAGTGCTGGGGCAGGACACTGGTTGCTGCACCCCCGAGGAGCAGGAGCAGGTGCTCAGGTCGGGGTCCCGGGCACCGGGGCCGTGTGCGGGTGCCGGAGACCCCCCGCCTGGCTCGGCTCGGCTCCCGCCCAAGATGGCGGCGCTGCCACGTCTGCGGCGCGGCCGCGTGTGGGGACGAAGCTGGGGCCATGTGGGGCTCGGGGCCTCGCACCAGCCACAGGGTGATGGGGCGGTGTGGGGTGGGAGGCTGGGGACTGTGGGGGTCCCACCCGGGTGCCAGCAGAGCCGTGTTCGCCTCCCGGCCCGCCCCGCCATCGCGGCGGTGACGAAGCAAGCACCGTCCCCGTGCAGGGGTGGTGGGTGACGTCCTCGTCTCCTGCCTGGCGCCAGCGGAGGGTGAACGGGGTGGCCCCTCCCAGTACGGGGTCTCTCAGCCGCAGCCATCACTCAGCGCTGGCCTTGGGGTGGGCTGCGGGCGGGCGGCATCTGGTCCCGGCGAGGGGCCGCCCTGCGCGGGGAGGGGGCGCGGGGGCCTCCGTCCCCCCGACTGCGCGGCTCCACCTGCGTCGACCGTGTCCGCCCCCGCCGGCGGGCAGGCGGCCTCCTGGGCGCGGGTGGGAGGGAGGGTCTGTCAGGAGGTCCCCGGGGTGCTGTGGGCTGTGCCCTGTGTCCTTGTGCCATGGGGGCCCAGGGCCCATGGTCACCCTTGGTCCGGGCCATGTGCAGCCCTGCCCATGCTGGCCCTGGCAATGGCCATGTTGCCACAAGGTGCCATAAGGCTGTGGTGCCACAGGGCCATGGGGCCATGGTTTGGCCATGGCTGCTGCTGGAGCGGGAGGGCAGTGGGTGTTGGGTGCTGACCCTACCAAACCCTCACCTTGCCTGCGCCACTTCGCTGCCGTGAAGCTGTGGCTCCAGCTCGATTCGGGAATGCGACACACTGGCCTAGTCAGGGCTGGCTCACACCTCCTCTGGGAAGGGACAGCCCCTTCCCCGGCCCCTGGCACTTCGGCAGCTGCCGTTGGTCAGCCCGGGCACTGCTGGCACATGGAGGCAGATGCCGGGACATGGAGGGAAACACCATCTGCCTCCTGACACATGCTGGGGTCCCACCCCCTGCCCGGGAGGGCTGGGCAGACCCTGCAGTGTCACAAAGGCTCCTCGCGGCAGGGCTTGGTGTGTGGGGAGGGTGGGTTTGGGCAGCCAGAGCCTGACTGTCCTGCATCGGCCCTGTGACCATCTGCCCCGTCCTGGTGCCCACCACTGGGCTGGGGAGCGATCATGCTGTGGCTGTGCGGTGGAAAAGGGTCCTCCCTTGAACCTCCTCTTGAGCTGCCCCTGGGTCCCTGGGCCAGGGGAGCAGGTAGGGATGACTCAGGGTGTCCCCCTCTCCTCCTCTCCCCAGCAGCACTGGTAGCCTCCTGGAGCTCCCTATCCCATGGCCCCCCAGAGCTCCTCATCGCCATGGTTCCCCCCCCGAGCTCCCTGTCCCCATGGCCCCGAGCTCCCCAGCATCCCCCCGGGCTCCTGCTCTGCCCTGCTCTGCTGGAGCTCCCCCAGAGCCCCCCATCATCCCACTTTCCCCACAGCCGCACTGTCACCCTTCACGGCCACGCGACGCATCGGGCACCCGTACCAGAACCGGACGCCACCCAAGCGCAAGAAGCCGCGGACGTCCTTCTCCCGGGTGCAGATCTGCGAGCTGGAGAAGCGCTTCCACCGGCAGAAGTACCTGGCCTCGGCCGAGCGTGCCACCCTGGCCAAGGCCCTCAAGATGACGGATGCCCAGGTCAAGACTTGGTTCCAGAACCGCCGCACCAAGTGGAGGTAACAGGGGTGGCCTCAGGGCAGCTACCACGACCCCCACATCCCTCCAGCAGCCCAACCCCACATCCCTCTGGCAGCCCTTCCCCTGGATCCTTCCAGCAGCTGCCTCCCTCTATGGCCAAGCCCCCCCATCCTGGGAAAGGCTGGACTGGGGAGGGATGGGACGCCCATCACCGTGGCATCCCCTGTGACCAGCTGGATGAGGTCTGATGGTGTCATGGGATGTGCCACACCGGCACAAGGTGGTGCTGAGGGATGAGGGACAAGGGACAGGGCTGTGGGGCAGTGCCACACTGACACACAGTGGTGCTGAGGGATGAGGGATAAGGGACAGGGCTACGGGGCAGTGCCACACTGACACACGGTGGTGCTGAGGGACAAGGGACAGGGCTGCGGGGCAGCTCTGGTGGTGCCAGCTGTGGTCTGTACCATCGGTGGGTCTCCGCAGGCGTCAGACGGCGGAGGAGCGCGAGGCAGAGCGGCAACAGGCCAACCGGCTGATGCTGCACCTGCAGCAGGAGGCTTTCCAGAAGAGCCTGGCACAGCCCCTGCCGCAGGACCCGCTCTGCATGCACAACTCCTCGCTCTATGCCCTGCAGAACCTCCAGCCCTGGGCCGAGGACAACAAGGTGACATCGGTGTCGGGGGTGGCCTCTGTGGTGTGAGGGCCCCGGGTGTCGCTGATGTGCCGGGAGGTGGCAGTGGGAGCCCAGCCTGCAGCAGGGAGGGGACTGCAGCTTCCTGGGGGCCTCCCATGGGCAGCCCCCTCCCTGCCACTGACAGCCCCCCCTTGGGCCCCCTGGCTGGGTGGCCATGCCCCTGCAACTGGACTCAAAGCTTTACCAAATCCCACCTGGAGCACCACTGTGGGCAGCCCCCTGCTCGGACCCCTGGGAGCCCACAGACAGGTCCCTACACCCTGCAGGGTTCTGCAGCCCCCTCACCCCAGGGTCCCTGTGCCAGGGCAGCTCCTTGGGGGTCCCTGCTCAGGACCTGCTGCCAACCCACCAGCGGCTCCATGAGTCAGGCTGGGGCAGCCAGTCCCCAGCCCACCTGGAGCAGGGCACAGTGTGGACATCCCGTTCCTGGTGCTGGGACCTGCCCCCCCAGGGGGGTCTGCACCCACCACACCACTTGCCTTATCCCTGGAGTTTGCCACCTCCGGCTTCCAGCTGTACCCACCATGCTGAATGAAGAACTTGGCCACTCTGGCTCCTCCCCAGTGGTGGGACAGACTGATGGACTGGGCCCCTGGCCCTGCACCCACCGATCTGTCGGCTCCCTGGGCCCAGACGTGCCCCCATGGCCCCCCACCATGGACTCGGGGTGCTCCCTATGCCGATGGATTGTACCAGCCCCTGACTCCCCCTGGTACCCCCATCACCTCCCACAGACTGAGCCTTCATGACCCACAGCACACTCGTGGGGGGCAGAGGGGCTGAACTCCCCCTCCTTTGGCAAATCTCTGTGCCCCCTCCCCAGTGACTCCCTAAGTGGAGGTTTTCCTCTCCCAAGACCTTCCAGCCCCACTCTGGCCTCGATTGGTGATGATGGTGGGGAGGAAGGGGGAGAACAACGACGACCTTGACCCCGAACTTGACCTTGCCCCCCACCTGACTGCTACCCACGACGCTGCGGCCCCTCGCCCCACTTTTGGGGGCAGGCTGCTGCTGGCCCCCCACCTCCGCTGCTGCCGGGAGGAGTCGGACAGCCGGTACCGGCGGGATTGGCTGCTGTTCCGTGACGCGGGGGGGAGTGGAACAGCATCACCACCGGGATGAGCGCGGCTGAGGGCCGGCCCCGGTGCCGGTGGGGCGGCGGCGGCGAGGCGGTTCTCCGTGCCCGTGCTGAGGCTGCCGGTTACCGGAGGCTGCTGCGAGCCCGAGCCGCCGAGGTGGAGGCGCTGCGGGGGGCGGTGGGTGCGTTACACCGGCAGCTGGAGGGGCTGCGGGACCGGCGGAGCGGGGAGCTGGCCAAGTACCAGGTGCGGGATGGGAGGGGGTCGGGGAGTGCCTGGGGGGCTGGGAGGGAACGGGGGGCTGGGATGCGAGGAGGGGGTGGTGTTTTGGGGAGGGGGAGGGGTGGTGCCGGGGCTGGATGCCTGGAGGGATGGGGTGAAGGGGGAGGATGGGGAGGGGCGGGGTCGGGGCGTCCCGATGGAGCTGAGGGGCCCGGGGAGGCAGCGGGAGGGGGCGAGGGATGGCATGGGGGTGTTTGGGGGGGGCGGGGGCTGGGGTGTCCGTGTGGGTGGGTGTCGGTGTGGGGCTGAGGATCCCGAGGTCCGTGCGGGGCGGGGACCGGGCCGGGGATCCCGGGAGTCCGTGTTAGGCGGGGTTCGGATCGCGGGTGGGGGTCCGTGCGGGGCGGGGGTCGGGCTGGGGGTCCCTGTGGGGAGGATGTTCGGCCGCGGGTCCCGGGGGTCGCCCCGCGGTCTCGGCGCTGCTGACGGCCCGGCTCAGGAGCGGGTGGCGGAGCTGGAGCGGGAGATCGGGGCGGCAGAGGCGGAGATGGCCCGGTGCCTGCGGGAGTACCCGGCGCTGCTGCGGCTGCGGATGGCGCTGGAGGCGGAGATCGCCGCGTACCGGTACGCGGGGGGAGGCGCGGGGAGCGCGGGGAGCGCGGGGCTCAACCCGGCCCTTCTCTTCCAGGGAGATGCTGGAGAGCGAGGAGCTGCGCCTGGGCGGTCTGGCCCCGCCATGATCGGACCCCTGGAGCCCCGCTCCCATCACCGAACCCGCCGTGACCACCGGACCCCCGGCACCGTGACCGGACCCTCAGCCCCACCACCAGACCCCCTGTCCCACTGTGACCGGACCCCGGTCCCTCCACCGAACCCCAGACCCTCGACTCCTGTGCCCCAGGACCCCCGACCTCGGGCCGTGGTACCCTCGGACCCTCTGGACCCCTCTGGACTCGCAGAGTCTTGGTCCTTCTGCCCCCTCGTGCCACGGGCCCCCAGACTCCTGTGCCCCCGCCTGCCCCCTGTCCTGGGACCCCCGGGAGGGCAGCGCCCGTGGGGCCACACACTCACCAGCCTCTCTGGGGTGGGGGTCCCGGCCCAGACCCGCGGGAAGCACCTCAATAAAGCTCCGTGGCATCACCCGGAGCCGACCCGTCTTGGGGTTGGGGAGTGGGGGGGGCAGGGGGCAGGACCCCGGCCAGGAGCACCCTCTGCGCTCCGGGGGTCTGCGGCAGAGCAGAGGCCCGGGGGGGCTCCAAGGGGAGGAGCTCAGGGGTGGGGCCCGGGCTCCATCCCGCCTGGTGCAGCCCTTCAGCCTGGGCTGGGCACCCTCCCGAACACCGAGGGGGCACATCGTGGGGGCCCAGCCACAGCTCCAGTGGGACCTGAGCCCCCCACTGCTGTCGGGTGACCCCTGCCCCCCCCACTGGACCGTGACCATGTCCTGCTCTAGGACTGGTGCTCCTGGGGTCAGGACAGGATCCTGCTCCCCAGGACGTGGGAATGGGGTGCTACCCCTCAGGACTTGCCCCCTGGGTGCTGCCCCTGAGACTGAGGATGCTGCCCCACTTCTGTGGGGGTTGGTGAGGATTAGGGGGGATCGGTGAGGATTAGGGGGGTCCAGGACACCTATGGACAGCTGGGCAGGGCTGTGGGGACCCTCCACCTGGGCTGTCCATGAGCTGGGCTGGCTCGAGCAGGGAGTCTGTTCCAGTCATACAGAAGGACCCCAGGGCCAAGCCCTGCTCAGGCCAGGAGCCCTCTGGGGAGTTGTGGGGGCCCAGCACCCCCATACCCACACAGACACAGACCAGGGTTTGTGGTAACAGAGTCAAGCCCAGCGCTTTAATAGGGGGGAAAAAAACCCCTTTTTAACAAGGGAAAAAGCCTTTTCTGAGCAGTACAAGGGAGAGCAAGGTGGGTGCTGGTGCCTGTCCCACTGTGGCTGTCCCATTGGGGTCCCCCCAGCCCCAGGTGTGCCCCTGGAGGTTTGTGGAGGGGAGGGAAAGGGTGCTGGGGAAAGGAGATGTCTGTGCATGGGGTCAGCGTGCTCAGAGCCAGCGTTATCGTGTGTTGAGGTCCTGCCAGGGGCTCCAGGGGCTCCAAGCCAGGGGGGTGTAGGGGTCCCGGCAGCTGATGCGCACCCGCTGTGCACCCACCTGCACCTCTGTCTCCTCCACGCCCTCCACGAACCGCTCAACCTGCAAAGGGGGCAGGTCATGGCCTGGGCAGATCCTCGGGTAGGGGGAAGCCATGGCAGAGGAGTGGGGGCAGAGCTGGGGGGAGCAGAGGTGACAGCCAGGGGTGACAATTCATTGCCTCAAGGAGAGAAGCAGCAGAGTGGGGAGGGGGCCATGGCTGAACCTGCAGAGAGTCCCTGTTCCCAATGCCCCCCAGTACAGGGAAGAGCCCAGGATGGGGCAGGGTGGGGACACGGGGCAGGATGGGGACACAGGGCAGGGTGGGTGTGTGTGGGGTCCGGCTGGGCAGGGACCCCTGTTACCTGGGTGCCATTGAGGAGCTCGTACTGCAGATGGTAGAGCAGCACAAAGTAGGAGGTGGGGCGCTGCCAGGAGGCTGGGGGTGCCCAGGCCAGGTGGAGCTGCTCCCCCTGCCACCGCAGGGTCAACTCCTGGGGCGGGGCGGGACGCACTGCGGGCAGGGGGGGCTCAGGATGGGGGCTGAGCCCCCCTCAGAGCCCCCAGTGCCCCTTGAACGTCCCCATCCCTCGGGCTGCTGCTGCCCTGAGCTCACCAATGTCACGGAGGAAGAAGTGCTTGGAGAGGCTGAGGTAGGAGGTGTCTGAGAGCCCCTCCAGGTGCAGCCACAGCGGACGCAGCTCCTCACCGAAGGGGCAGAACGAGGGGTCGGCCAGGCTGGCGTTGAACCGGCCGTGGGCCCCGGCCACTGGCACCCACGGACTCACGGAGCCATCGCTGAGGGGAGGGAGGCGTGAGCAGGTGTGAGGGCTGGTTGGCCGAGGGGCTGGGGTGGGTCTGGGAGGTCCCAGGACACCCACCTGCGTGTGAGGCGGGCACGGAAGACGACAGAGGGGGGCCCAGGCCAGGAGCAGTGGAAGGAGCCGTGGTAGGACTCAGCCTGGCAGGACACGTTGATCTCTTCCTCGCCTGGGGGGCCGAGGGGGGTAGGGGGGTGTGGGGCTGGGAGCGATGCCCCCTCCCTGCTCAGCACTGGTGAGGCTCCCCCGGCCCCAAAGCCCTGCCTGGTGCAGCCCCATGGACGGCACATGAGCAGCTCTGGGTCCCCAGCCTGCCCCCCGTCCCTGCACCCCATCACCCCCCTGCCCGGGCTCTCCCAGCCACGTCCCTCCTTACGGGCACCGCTGACCACCACGTAGGTGGTGTCCAGCAGGACAGGGCCGGCCCAGCAGCTGTAGTTGCCCGTGGCTGGCAGGTCTAAGCCGAGGATGGTGAGGTTCCGGCCCTCAGCCTCCAGTTCGGCCATGGGCTCCTGCTCCCCGTTCAGTGTCCAGCTGATGTGTGGCTCCAACGTGTCACACTGCACCACCACGTCCTCGTTCAGCTGCCCCACCTGGACTGCAGGTGAGAGGCAGAGCCTGGGGTCAGAGATGGGCTGTGCTGGGGGCAGCTTGTCCCTCACACCAGCACGGGGCTGGGTGCCCTTCAGCCATCCTGCCCCATGGTCCCCACCCTGCTCCTGCACCCCAAATCCATTCCCATCTGTCCCATCACCCCACATCCATCTCCCTGCTCCTGCACCCTAAATCCATTCCCACCTGTTCCATCCATCCCCCCACATCCACCCCCCCTCTCCCTCACCCCACATCCATCCCCCTATCACCCTCATGCCCTCTCTCAAACCCCTCAGCAGAGCTGTCTGACCCCTATCAGAGGGATGCAGGATGGGTATACCCCCTGCTCCCTCCAATTGGTGTGAGGTCCCTGCAGCCCCCTCCCATTGGGAGGTTCCCCCTCCAAGGCCTCCCCCGTGCCCGGGGGGCAGCAGCACTCACACTTTGGGGGGAAGGCAGTCA